CGCCGGCTGCCCGAGGTCCCCTCCACCCTCCCAGGCTCCCGTCAGCGCTTTCCCGTTCTTCCCCCGTCTTGTTTTGTTGCAAACTCACACCCCTCCTCCTCGAGGTTCCACAGGCCATGACACAAACTGTGTCCGCCTGTTACTCACAGCACACATTTCTGATTCACCACTGCCTCCTGTTTACATGGAGTGAATGGTGTAAAAGGGAGGGGGCCCGGGTTTGGAGGATGGACAAGACACGGTCCTGGGCCAGTCCACCCTGGAGAAGGCAACCCTGGTTACACAGCCTACCCCGATGACAGCCACCTTGGGGACATCCCACCCCGGGATATAGACACCCGAGAACAGCACGCCACCCTCTCCAGGTCCCCCTCCAGCCGCAGGACGCCTCGGTGGGGACACTTGGGGTCGGCTGGCTGCACCCCCGGGAGATGCGCCCCGCGCTGGCCACGCTGGCCTGTCTCCCTGCAGCCCAGGGACGACTCTCCCGGCCACCACCTGTCGGGGCATGCCGAGCAGCTCGCAGGGAACGGCCTGGCTTTCACTCCCGCCAAAGTTGCACGCGCAAACTTTCCACCCGCGACCCCGTCGCTCCCTACCTGGGGTGTGGGTGGCCGTAGCCTCAGACACGCACGGTCACGGGCTCGGATCGTCGGCAGCAGCAGCGACCGTCCCAGATAGAGCCCGCTCGGGAGCATCCTTCTGCCCGGCCCGAGCTCCTTCCCACAGCCACGCATCCTCCTGCCGCTAGAGCCCAGCCCGCTGTGGGCTCAGCCCGCCCCGCCAACTGGGGCGGTGACAGGAGGGTGTGTCCCCACTTCCACTTCACTTGGTGCACACTCTGGCGGCGCCAGGATGTTTTTTTTTTTTTTTCCTCCGACAAAAAAATAAACAATTTTTTAGAAAGAGTAAAGTGACGGATTCCCCAGTCTTGGGCTTCTGGTATCTCTCTTCCCGCACATATTTCTTGAGAGAAGAACAAGAGCTGGGCTCACACCACGCAGCTGTAGATGTCGAAACTCACAGCAGCCAAGTGGTGAGGCACTCCTGGGATCCCAGATTTGGAAACAGAGGCCTGTTGATCAGGAGTTCAAGGCCACCCTCCACTAAACAGTAGGAGGCCACTCTCAGCCTGTCACAACATGAACCAAAACTCCCACAACCAATTTATGGCGCTGTGTGTTGGGAGAGCAGTTCTCTCCATTGACACCCTCCCACCGCGCACCCCTGCCCCTTTACCTACACAGGGAGACCCAGGGCCCTGGGGAAAGGACTTCCGGAACCTGGCAGGGGAAAAGTACATGGAAATAGCTTACTTTTGTCCAGCTGAAGAGAGGGAGAGAAATGGGTTTGCCAAAGCTCCACCTCCGCTGCCCTCAGGGCTTGAGATGAGTCTGCCAGTAGCCTGAGCCCACGGCAGACTCAGCCTAGGGCACCAGAGGTTTGTAGTTCATTACAGGCTGGCCCATGTCCAGACTCTGGGAAATTTTCTTCCAAGGCAGAACTGGCTTCTCACTGGGGACAGAAGAAAAGACACTGCCAACCCAGGGGCAGGAGTTAAGCCTTGCGAAAGCACTGTTAAAAACCGCTATTAGTGTTAACGATCAGTTCTGCAGGTTCGGATTATAAGCACTCCTGAAGCTCACTTTCCTGTAAATAGCAAACATGTGGGGGTGGGAAGGCAATCTGGCTTCTTAATTGGTGGCTGTTGGACTTTCCTTTGATTCTACAGCTGCCTTCAGCCAAAGGACTGTCAGTCAAACAGCCAGCTACTCTGCCACTTGGAGCACGTCACAGATGCCTAGAAGAAATTACACGATGATGACTACAGCTGTTCTCTACAGCTCCTGAAGCTACAGCCCTGGCACAGGATTTTTTTTTTTTTTTTTGCTAGCACAAGCCCAGTAACTATTTTAAGGGAAGCACTTCACCTGGTAACTTCACCTGTTGTGATTGGTGGAAACAAACCATCCTTATGAAAGTTTTGTTGTGACTGGTACAAATACCCCTTCTCTAGCTATATAAGCAGGAAGTTTTGCTGGCTTGGTGAGCCAGATGGGAGACACCATTGTCTTTTGCCTGCTCTGGTGTTGCAACATTAGGCCCAATAAAAGACTTCTCTAGGCCAATGGTAGTGATGCACTTTAGTTCCAGGAACTAGGAAGCAGAAGCGAGATTTTGTAAATTCAAGGTCAACTGGGTCTACGTAACAAGTTCCAAATCAGCCAGGTATACATAGTGAAACCCTGTCCCAAAATTTAAAAAACAAACAAACAAACAAAACAAAAACAGTGTTCTATACAATTGTCTTAGGTAGGGTTTCTATTGCTGCAATGAAACACCTTGACCAAGAAGCAAATTGGGGGCGGCGGGTGGTGGTGGTGGGGAGGTGTTATTTGGTTTACACTTTCATATTACAATGTGTGTCCATTATTGAAAGAACCAAGGATAGGAACTCAAACAAGGCGGGAACCTGGAGGCAGGAAGTGATGCAGAGGCTGCTGGGGAGAGCTGTTTACTGGCTTAGTCTCCATGGCTTGCTCGGTCTGCTTTCTTTTTTTTTTTTTTAAGATTTTATTTATTATGTATACAACATTCTGCTTCCATGTATATCTGCACACTAGAAGACCGCACCAGATCTCATAACGGATGGTTGCGAGCCACCATGTGGTTGCTGGCAATTGAACTCAGGACCTCTGGAAGAGCAGTCAGTGCTCTTAACCTCCGAGCCATCTCTCCAGCCCCTCAGTCTGCTTTCTTATAGATCCTGGGATCATCAGGCCAAGGATGGCACCATCCACAATGGGCTGAGCCCTCCGCCATCATCACTAATTAAGAAAATGCCTTACAGGCTTGCCTGCAGCCCAATCTTATGGAGGCATTTTCTTAATTGAGGTTCCCTCCTCTCTGAAGACTTTGTGTCAAGTTGACATAAAACTATCCAGTACAAGAATGGTCTTTTCTAGTTTTATAGAGTAGGCTGAGCTGGTTACACTAAGAACAAAAGTAGAGACAGAAGCAGTGGTGGCAACATTGGCACTCTAAGTGCCAAAAGCACTGGCGCAACGAACTGCTTTGACAACTCCAGGGGAGCTGTGGATAGATGGTGTGGGCAGGCCTAGCCGCAGGAGTGTGGGGAGCCCATGAGTCGGGGGAGCTGCAGGCTGCACTGACAAGCCGAAGAATTGGGACTGCAGGAACTGGTGACCCGGACAGGCAGTGCTGGAGAGCTGGATGTTAGGTCAAGCTCTGCAAAAGCAGAGCACAGTGGCAGATAGAGCAGCAAAAGGAACAGTGATGCTCTGGAGAGAGCCAAATGAGCCCAGGCTGATGACTGAAATTAAGCTGCAAAGACCTGCTGAGATGGGTCAGCGGTTAAGAGCCCTGGCTACTCTTGCAGAGGATCCGAGTTCCATTCTAAAACTAAGGGTACCTCCAGTTCCGTGGGATCTGATGCCCTCTTTTTACATTTTTGGTTGTATGACTGAGCCATCTCTCCAGCCTGATGCCCTCTTCAAGCATCTGGGAATGTTCGGCATGTCCTCGGTGCACATGCATAAATGCAGGCAAAACACTTTGAACCCGTAAAATAATAAATCTAAAAAAATATTTTAAAACATGCTTTAACATGCTGTCAATCAAAGGGGCTGCAGGGAGGAAGCTCAAAGATGCCAACAACTAGAAAAGCTGATGTTTTGGCTCTGGGACATTTTGCTTACAAATGAATAAAAACAAGGTGTTTAGTACAAATAACCCATACTTGGCAGCTCATTCCTAAATTCCAGCTCTTGGGAGGCAGAGGCAAGGAGTCACTGCAAGTTTGAAACCTGCTCCCAAATGCATAATGACTTTCAGGCAGGCCAGGGCTACATAGGCCTGTCTCAAAACAAACAAGACACTTCATGGGGTGTTATGATAAGATCCCCAATACACATGAAAGCAGAGTTTGGATCTAGCATTTAGGTCTAGAATTATATAATTTTTGACACCAAGATTTTAATCTTAATCTAATACTACCTGTCTTCTGCTATCAGCTGACCTTCCCCCAGTCACGGATGTCACAGATGGCCAGGATCAGGGTGACAGCACAAATGTCCTGTGCAAATCCTGAACTGAAATTTGCATATTTGGCACATCATGAAGCTTTGCATGAATTTTATTGTGTGTATACATATTCACGTATGTGTATACATGCACATGTGTAGCTATGCCTGTGAAGGCCAGGTGTCAGTCTGTGGTGTCATTTCTTAGGAGCTGTGTGCCTTGGCTTGTGAGACAGGGACTGTCATGTGGACGCGGTGCTCCCTGACTAGGGTAGGCTGACTGGCTAGCAAGTTCCAGGGATCTTCCTGTCTCTCTCTGCAGCACCTGGGTTACAAACGTGGATCACTATACCAGGCCTTTTCTTTTGGGCCACCAACCAGCTCCCCAATCAACATGTGAGACTTATTAGTTATGATATATGCTTGGCCTTATCTTAGCTCTTATTTGAATCTGTTTCTCTTTATCTACATTTTGCCTCAGGGCTTTTTACCTCTTTTTTCTTCCTATCCTCTCCCTTCTCCCCCTCCCCTCCTCTCCCCCTCCTCTCTCCCTCCTCCCCACTCTCTCCTCCCAACTCCTTCCCTCCTCTCTTCCCCCATTTTTCTCCACTCTCTTCCCCTTCTCTCTTCCTCTCCTCTCTCCCTCCTCTGTCTCTCTCATCTCTGTTTCTCTCTCTCCTCCTGTCTTCTTGGTATGTTCCTCTCTTTCTCTCTTTCCTCCTTCTCTCCTTTCTCTCTAGCCTAGATTTCTCTTCCTGTGTATTCTGTCTGTTCATCAGCCCCACCTATCCCTCTCCTGCCTAGCTATTGGCCATTGTGCTCTTTGTAAGACCAATTAGTGCCTTAGGCAGGCCAGGTGAAACAATAGTTAATCAAATGCTTCACAAATGTAACACATCCCTACATCCTTGAACAAATGTAGCAGAAACAAATGTAACACACCTTTACACAGTTAAAGTAACATCCCACAGATAAACAAATGTAACACACCTTTACACAGTTAAAGTAACATTCCCACAGATAAACAAATGTAACACACCTTTACACAGTTAAAGTAACATTCCACAGCTGAAACAAATGTTACACACCTTTACACAGTTAAAGTAACATCCCACAGAATAAACAAATGTAACACACCTTTACATAATTAAAATAATAGTCCATAACATATCACAATGCCAGCTTTTTACACTAAGTACTGGAGACTGAGTGCAGGTCCTCGTGCTTGCCTGGCAAGCACTGACAGAATTTTCTCTACTCCACTTGGTCTTGGTTTTTATTTTGAAAAATATTACTTGAGCACTTGGGAAGCTGAAGCAGGAGGATTATCACTAAGGAGGTTGAGGCAGAAGGCCTGTGAATTCAAGAACTGTCTGGACCACAGTGAATGTCAGTACAGTGTCAAATAATCCTGTCTCAAAAAAACAAATGAGTACACAAGAACAGGCCAGGTACAGCAACCAAACCCACCACTGTGGCTTTCCATGAGCACTGAGCTTTAAATCTGATGGCATGTGGACACAGTAGACTAAAAGGCTTGGCATGTGGACACAGTAGACTAAGACAGCTTGGTCATTCTGAAGCACATTAATGTCATTAACAAATTGACTATTCGGAATAGGAGAGAAGGCAGCAATGACAGCACACACACACACACACACACACACACACACACACACACACGTTTGTTTCTGGTATTCGGAATAGGAGAGAAGGCAGCAATGACAGCACACACACACACACACACACACACACACACACACACACACACACACACACATTTGTTTCTGAAGAAGGTAAGAATTTCAGCGAAGGTAGAGCCTGGGAGGCATCATGAGGACAAAGTGCAGGTTCTGCAGGGAAGGATCCAGACCTTCGGTTCTGTTGCACAACTGCTTTGTGAGATGACATCACCATCGCCAGACTCTGTATAAGAGACTTTGTACACATCTTCCACACAGTCTTCATGAAACTCTTCCCAAAGAATTAGTATTACCTCACGCAGGGATGAGGCTAAGAGATGGTGAGAGCTTGCCCAGGTCATACAGCTAGAAGAGGGACCATTGTGTAGCAGGTGCAGAGCTGGTATTGTTTTTTTTTTTTTTCCCCTCTCACAACCACAGTTATTTCCATTATACCTTACTCAGATTGTGTTCCAACTATTATTGAGCATTACGCAAGGCTCTTAACCTGGTAGGCAATTCCAAACTCAATTTCTGAAGTTTCTGTTGACCTCCACTTCCTTTGTTCTTCTAGGGAGTTGTAGGTATCCATTAACTTTCAGTATCAAACATGGAAGTCTTAAAAGACACTCTGGAATCAATCTCTAGATCTCAGAGGAGGTTCTTCCTGCTGGGTACACAGTAACAAATCAATTCCTCTTCATAACCTGTAGCACTCTCTTTCTGGTTGACTGTACAGGGAGCCCCAAATGGCCAGTAAGCATTCATGGCTTGTGATTCAATAGGAGTATCGTGCCCATCTAGGACCTAAGACCCTACAACTCTGAGATGGAAGGCTCGCTCACTTTGATTCTCAGATTATCTGGTTATAGCCTATGGTACCTTGGGATATCACTCAAATCCTCAGAAGGAAGTCTCGCCTGTCTATCAGGTCAGCAACTTTTTAGGATGACAGGCTGTTGTGACACTAGTGGGCTTCAACTGCCACCGCTCTTATGAGTCCCTTGATCAGAAGCAATGTTGTGAAGGCATTGTGGGAGCCCACAGAGGGCAGTGTTGGCAGAAACATGGGCAGAGTAGGCAACTCCATATCCACACATTCATGTGAGGATGACATGGGAGAAAAGCTGCTCCAAGATCTTCAGGAAGCTACCTGCTTCCCCAGAGAATGATGCCACAAAGCTGGTTCCAGCTAATGATTGGTTAGGAATAAAATGGCAGCAACCAGCTGGGCTTTTAGAAGGAGACCCAGTATGTGTACCCTGCAGCTTCTGTCCTCGCAGATGAGACATCTTTGTACCCGAGTCCTTGAGCAAATCCTAGAGTTGCATCCAGAGTACATGAGGCATTGTATGAGCTCCAGCAGGCCCACCCTGTGACTTTTTGATCTGCAGCTTACACAGCCTCTCTGGCCCCCGGACTTTATTCCGGAATCTCTGTGCGGCCTAGGACTCCATGACTCTTGCATTCTGCATGCCTGCAAAGCAGCAGCATGTGGACAACACCAAGTTCATGTTACCTTGGGCTACAACCAGGCTGCCTTGACCCATGGCTGCAAGTGGTCTTGGAGTTCCTGAATGCCTGATTGGAGAAAACATCTTCCTATGTGGTCCTTTCCTGCCCAGTGTTCTCAAAGCTCTTTCCAGGTACTCTCCTTGTTTTCAAGCGGACTTGCTTCTGTGCATCCTGTAGCCTTCAGTACCTGAGGTCTTGGCTTCGAGGGCCTTTTCCTCTTACCTCAATGCAAAGTGCACAGATTCCCTTTGATGACGTTCCTGTTTATCAGTGATGGCCTCATTGTCCCCACCTGCCTTAACCACTTTGGATGAGCTCACCCTTCCCCTTGACAAATTCTTTGCATTTCTATGCAGGACAGAACGGATTTCTTTTTTTCATCTCAGGGACTGTGTATGCAGTTCTACTCTTGAGACAGAGCTGGCTTCTTCGTCACAGGCTGGCCTCAGACTTGCTAGATTGCCAAAATGATCTGGAACTCCTGAGCTTCTTGCCTCCACGTCCCAAGTTCCCCAGTTATATACATATGTTACTACATCTGGCTTCCTTTCCAACTCATTTGCTAATTTAGAATTATTCTACACAGCCATGTGCTACATAGTCCCAGCACTTGGAAAGCAGAGGCAGACAGATCTCTGAGTTTAAGGCCAGCCTAGTCTACAGAGCAAGTTCCAGAGTAGTCAGAGAAACATAGAGAAACGCTGTCTCAAAAAAAAAAAAACCCAAATATAGCTATATACATCATATGACATATTATTATATAATATATGTACACATTTGTATATATATTATTATATTATTCCATAGAGTTTTTACAAACATTTACTAACTTCCTAGTATGTGCCAGGTGTGCTAAACCCTGAAATAAAAAAGGCAGCTGTGGAATACTAGTTGAAGATGTGCTGCATTTCATTTATACTGTGGAGTATTTGTTTAATGACGCAAAGATGGGTTGCATTCTTTTATGTTGCATTTGTTTAACTCTGTGAAGCTGTGTTACTTTGCCTGCCTAAGGCACCCAATTGGTCTAATAAAGAGCTGAACAGCCAGTAGCTAGGTAGGAGAGAGATAGGTGGGGCTAACAATCAGAAAATAAATAGAAGAGGAAGAGGCGAGGAAGAGAAAAGGAGGAGAGGAAGACGTCAGGGGCCAATCACCCAGCTACACAACCAGCCATAGAGTGAGAAGGAGAGAAATGAATATAGAATAAAGGTAAAAGCCCAGAGGCAAAGGTAGATGGGATAATTTAAGAAAAGCTGGCTAGAAATAAACCAAGCTAGGGCTGGGCATTCATAAGTAAGAATAAGTCTCCATGTGTTTATTTGGGAGCAGGGTGGAAGGCCCCCAGAGAGCAAGGAGCCAAACAATCACTACAAGCAGCATCTATGTTTTAAGAGAGAATGCCAGTTATAACACAGCATGGCTGTGATGGGGAGACGAGCACAGTAAGGGCACATCCAACACCAAGAAATATCTAACACGGGTGGGGAGTGCCCATCGAAGACTGCACAAGGTAGTACTGCTTTGGCTGAGTTCTGAGGGGCTCATTGAGCAAAGCCAGGCAGGAAGTGGTTCAGAAGGCTTCCCAAGAAGGGGAGCACAGTGCTTTAGGCTCAGGTATGAATGGCAGCAGCTCCCTATAATGCTACGCAGTTAGCTGTTCTTAGCTTAGTGCTGTGTTCTGCTTTCAAACGTCTTCCACTCCAACTTTGCTCCAATCTGTTTTTTCTCAGATTATGTCCCAAGGGATCCCCATAAATCCTGTTAGGCATTTTGGCCTCATTAAGTTGGGGTTGTGGGTTGGCTTTCAGTTGATCGTTTATAAGCATGCCATTTCAGTCCTAGTTTTTAAACACCTTAGTTCTAAGTCTTGGCCTTTCTTGTTTAAATGTGTTATTCATTCATTTGTTAATATTCTTTATTCCTGACTCTGAAAAAAATAATAAAAACCTATTTTTAATAAGTAATTGGGAGCAGATCACAGTACCTTCCCATCCCATTCCAATTTGCCATCCAATAGGAAGTTAAATCCTAATGGAGAAGGACTACAAAGAAGAAATTGAATGCCAGGGCTGCGGGTGATTCATTAAAAATTAAAGATAGGAAATTCATTTAAAAATGGGAGAGTTCTCTTAACTGGTACAGTTTTACAACTTGCCTAAGGGTAAATGTGAAATGAATCGCTTGTCAGGGGTGAGCCTAAGAGTCCTCCAGGAAGGGCTAGTGAGTTTTTATAGTCATTCAATTAAATCAACATGGTTTTGTAGACTCTGCCTTGGGATGGATACTTGCGGATATGGGAAGTAGGAGTTCAAAAGGGATAAAGGTGGATTGGGGTGTAGCTTAGTGGTAGAGTATCTGCCAGAGCTGCAGAAGGCCTGGGGTTCAACCCCAGGGAGGGAGGGAAGGAGAAAGGGAGGGAGGGAGGGGCCGACCTAAGGAATAGTCAATGCCTCCCTTTAAGTAAGTTCATATGTAATAAAGAACTGGAAGGAACACACAAAAATCACTATTTTTTATTTTTAAGAACTTAAACACAATTATAAAAGTATAGATTATTAACTTTAAAAAAGTATTTTATTGCCCGTTTTAATCTGCTATTATAATCAGTAAGTGTTATAAGCAAAGTATAGGTTAGTCTACACATACTTGAGTTTTTTGTTTTTGCAATGTTGTAATTCTTTCTTTTTATCTTAAAATCTCATTATAGAAAACCAGAAAAATAAAGTATAAAATGTGTACATATATGTCACCAAACACTAATTAAAATAATATACAGCAACCTGAGTGGCTCTCTAGGTAAGATAATCATATTTGCAACAAAGCAAAGATTGTAAACGAAGCCATGGACACCTCCCAGCAGGGCTGCTCTTCTAAATGATGCCCATCCCTGACAGTCAGGGACAGGGCAGCTCCTGCTGGCTCCTGGGTAAACTATATGTGGGATGGGACCTGCAGTTGTGCTTCTGGGCAATCTTATAAAATTAAACAATCTTCATACAAAAAACAGGATTTTGTGAAGAATAGTTGTCCCAGTAAAATCCTAATACAATATTAACTACCATTGTGCATACAATTATTAGTAATCTTCATTAAGTTAGACTCAGAATAACAACTATATTTTCTCTCATATGCAGAACCTAAATTCATACATTCCTAACAAGACATTAGATGGCCGATGATGACAAAGACAATGAAGGAGAAACACAAAATACATTTACTCTCATTTTAATATTTTATTTTTTTGAGACAGGGTCTTACTTACTATGCAGCCCTGGCTGACCTGGAACTCAACATGTAGACAGGATGGCCTCAATCTCAAAGATCTACCTGCCTCTGCCTTCCTAGCTGGGATTAAAAGCGTGCATCACGACATCCAGTTCATATTTATTCTCATGAGTGAAATCTAGATTTCAGTGTTGGAGTGTGTATTGGGGCGATAAGGGGGGCGGGGGTGGGGAGCAGAAGTGGGTCTCTGTGGAGAGAGGGCCGGTGTGTGGGAGGATGGGGAGCAAAGCGAATAAGAGCAAGGTATAATGAGATGTCATTAAATGATGATGGGGGATGTCCTAAGCCTCTGTGCATTTATCTGGGACTAAATGGCTGTGGGACCAGGCAGGACAAACTTCTGTCTACAAAATACCATAATGAATGCTATTGTATGCTAGATAAAAGCCTCAATAAAGAGTGGCAGTGGTGGGGTGGTACCCTGTGAAGAGATTCAGAGGCTACAGGCAGTTGCCACCAAGCCTGATCGCCTGACTTTCATCCCCAGAATGCACATGGTGGTAGAGAACGAACTCAAGTTATCCTCTGATCTCCACAAATGGGCCTCTGAATAATCATTTTTTTAAAAAGCATAAAACAATCCAAGATTTTAGTGATGTGTAGTAACTCATTTAGTGGCATTCTGGTTAGCTTCATTGTTGCTGTAACAAAACACTGACCAAAAGCGACACGGAGGAGGAAAAGTATATCAAACTTTTGTGTTAGATCCCTCACTCGGGGAAATGAAGGGAGAAGCCTGGAGGCCTAGACTGAAGCAGAGACCACAGTGCAAGAGCTGCTTACTGGTTCCTCTCCAAGGCTCACTCAGCATCCTTGAGCTTTGTTATTCGACCAGGTGCAGTTCTGTCCAGATGGGCAGGGCTCCTCCCATGTCAATCATTAACCAAGAGAAAAAACGACACAAACAGGCCCACAAGCCAATGTAGACAGACAGGCAGTTCCTTAGGGGAGGTTACACCTTACCAGGCAGCTCTAGCTTGTGCTGACAGAAACGAATCAGTGCACGTGGTCAAGAGTAATTAATGCTCATTATCCAAAAGAATGAACATCTTAACATGGTTCGCCAACGGTGGGTCTGTGTATGTCCCACCAGACAACAACATGGCTGCCTCCCGTCCTAAAGCCACTTACACAAACGTGCTTGCCTCCTTCTTACAGGTATCCTAAGGAGGCAGGAAGGGTGATGCCCAATTTTCTTAAGCTACTTTCCTATCATTTTATATTTTAGCTCTTTGTCTCCTGTGCCATGCTAACCTGTGAATACCTCCTCCTGCCTTTGAATATGAGTCTATGGGTCAGGCTTCGTAGCAAGCGCCTGTACCCACTGAGCCTTCTTGGTGGTCCATTGCTTCCTTTTCTTGGTTACTTTTGACTTTCTGGATAATATCTTCAATGTTAAACTTTTGGGTGAATTTTCATATTTTCTTGTTTTCAAAAATATTTTAGGGGAAATATATGTCAAATAGCCTCACGGCTTCCTTAACATACCAGTTTCCTCATCTGTATATTTTCTGGTCTCATGACTATCAACATTGCCTTGGGAGGTAACTCAGTTGGTTTGCATGAAGTCCCGTTTCCCATCCCCAGTGCCCCAGAAATCACATGCAGTGAGGCACACCTGTAATCCTGTCACTCAGGAGGTGAAGACATGGGATCAGAAATTCAACGTTATCCCCTCTGCTGTATAGAAACTTCAAGGCCAGTCTGAGGCACAGGAGACCCTGTCATAAAACAAAAACAAATAGAAATAAATGGCTAGTGCTATTTGACATATACATATATACTAATGTATATATATTCTTCAAAAATACAGTATATGTTTCTGGTTAAGCCCCTGCCCAAGTGGAGGAAACAATAGAGAGATATACAAAAACTTCTCCCTGGAATTTTATTCCCATCCCCAGTCTAAGAACTCAGTGTCTTCCTTCCTGCCTGCCTTCCTTCCTTCCTTCCTTCCTTCCCTCCCTCCCCTTCTCCCTCCTCCTCTCCCTTCCCCCTTCATCCCTCCTTTCCTCCCTTAAAAGATGGTATTATGTAGCCCATACTTGTCCAGAACTTACTTTGTGCCCGAGAAGAACCTTGAACTTTTGATTTTCCTGTCTCCATGTCCCAAGTGCTGGGATTACAGCTGCACACCCAGTTTTGGAACCGAGTTTCAACAGAAAAGAGAACTCCCCGTAAGCATGTCCTTTGCTCACCCAACAGTTATTGTCTCTGAGACCATCAGGGTAAGTGTCCCCACATGCACATCCCGATGCCACTCACCACATGCTCTTCCTGACATCTATCTTCTGAGGGATGGTGTCTCTTGTCATGGCAGTGATAGGCAATCATGCATGCCACAGCACATATATGAAGGCCAGAGGACAACTTGAAGCAACTGTCTCCTTCCACCATGTGGATCCCAAGGATAAAACTTAGACCATCATCAGGCTTGGTGACAAGAACCCTTACCCACTGAGCCATCTTTTTAGCCAAGGACAGATATTTTAAATTATTAGGTAGACTGGAGAGACGCTCCTGTGGTTAAGAGCACTTGTTGCTCTGTCAGAAGGTCCAGAATCCCCCCACCACCCACCCCCCAGCATCTACATAGCAGCGACTGACTGCCCTTAACCCCAGTCCTCAGAATGTGATCCCTCTTTTAGCCCCTGTGGGTACTGCACACACCTGGTGCATAAACATGGTACAGACATACATGCAGGCAAAAACCACAAACCTAAGGTTACAAATAAATATTAAAAGAACTAGTGTAATTTGTTGTACAAAGTGGTTTTATGACATTTTGATCAAGAATATCATGTACCCTTCTTCTGTTTCCCTTCTGCTACCATGCTTTATACAGGTATATTTAAGCATACATGTGTGTTAAATATTACACACACACACACACACACACACACACACACAAAGATGTGGTATCTGTCTGGTGTCTGAGTCTAACAAGATGCTCTTGCATTCCAGCCGTTTTTCTACAAATGGCATAATTTTGTTCTTATAACAAAATTAGAAATCTCTAAAATGTATACATGGAATGACTGGCTTGGGTTCCCATCCCCAGATTATTCTTCCTCATTGTTTGTCACAGGTTCCCCAGGCTCATGCCACTCAGTGTCATACCCTGTCACTTGCAGTCCTTTACTTCTGTCACTGTAGGGACACTTTCATAATTAATGGAGGACCCACTTTAAGCCTGGAGCTTTCCATCCTGACCCCTCCCTCCAGCTATCTTTGATAACATCCCAAGTGTTTACTCCCAGACAGTCTACAGCAGTCTTGTAGTCCTGGACAATAACATCCCAAGTGTTTACTCCCAGACAGTCTACAGCAGTCTTGTAGTCATGGACATTCAAAGAGTGTGTGTGTGTGTGTGTGTGTGTGTGTGTGTCTGCCTGCTTGTATTTGCACCACATGTATACTATGCCCTGGAGGCCAGAAGAGAGCAACAAGTTTCTCCTCGAACTGGAATTGTAGGGGCTGTGAGTCACCTTTTGTAGGCATTCTTGACCACTGAGCCATCACTCTTGCCTGCGACAATTTCTTGACACCATCCAAATCTCAAAACGGACTCCTGTATCCTGACCATGTATTCCTTCTGGTATAGATATTCCACCAGTCCTTTGACCTCACTGGGATCTGCAAACAGGAATTCCACTTTCATTTTCACCACTCTTATCTTCCTTTAGTTTAAGTGAGTTCCTCCCACGTGTCTTCTTTTAGAGGCAGGGTCTCAATCTGCAGACAAGGCTGGCCGTGCCCTCCTGGTCCTGCCTGTCCCTAGGATACAGGTAAGCCCACCAGACATGGTCCTACCTGTCGGACGTGCTACACAACAACAGCCAGGGAGCCTCTCTCTTCTGGAGGTACCAGACACTTCCCCACTTCTCTGCTGATATTCTGGAGTCTTCCATAAAAGTCAAGTGTGATCCAAAGGTACTTTTCAGACTCACTGACTGACAGCACTGCTTAGATGGCTCTCCTCCCAAATAGCCGTCGGGCTTCTATCAACTCTCTTGCCATGCAGAAGAGCCTCTCATTACTTTCTAAAATAGTTTTCTCAGCCGCTTCTCCCAGCTTGACTTCCCAGCATTCATTACATTCGACAGCTGATACACAATCCCCGCCCCCCTGCCCGGCCTCCTCCCACCTTCCAGCAGTGGTTCTCAACTTTCCTAACACACCGGAAGCCCTTTAATACAGTTCCTCATGTTGTGGTGACCCCCCCCAACCATAAAATTATTTTCGTTGCTACTTCATAACTGTAATTTTGCTGTTTTGAATTGTAAATATCTGACATTCAGGACCCCTGTGAAAGGGCCATTTGACCCCTAAAGGGGTGTCGCTACCCACACATTATTAGAACTGTGGTCACAGGGCTTCTTGTACTATGTTAACCGATTTAGTAATTTTTAAAATAAACAAAGTTCACAAAGACAAAACATTCTTCTTTAAGTAGAAATATCATACTTTTGTTCTACAATGACAGTATTAACCAGTAAGATGGCTCAGTAGATCAAAGTTTACCATGACAGCATGCAGCCAGAGCGGGCTGCAAGAACTAACTGCCAGTGTTCTGGCCTCCACACACTTGCTCTCATTCACACACACACACACACACAATAATACATGATAAATAATACAAACAAAAAGTAACAGTATTTAGCTGCCCTTCGGGAACCACAGTAAGCTCCCGGGTGGTGACAGTAGGGTGCAGACACAAGCAGAGTCCCTTGGGGGGCTGTGGAAAAGGAGAACACTTGGTTTTTATTACAGCTCTGCCACCCATTAGGGTGAGTCATTTAAACTCATTTTCCATCAGGGGCTGGGAGAGAGTGCTTTTATCTTTATCTAAAGAAAAGCAGGAACCCCAGGGTGCTGTCTCCTGGGATTGTGGCTATTCTCAGAGAGAAAAGGCCAGGGGGACTACACCAAAGTGTGCAATTTCGGGAGCTAAATTCATCAGATCACTGCTCCTGCCAACTGTGTCTTTATCTCTTCATAAGCTGCCTCTTTGTGTGGTCTATCTCATCCTCCTTCTCTGCCCCAAACAAGTACCAAAACATTTTGTTCTGAAAAAATAAAAATAAAGAGATCTACAAAATTTTAAAACCGGTAGAAGTCACACATGCCAAGAGCCTTATTTTTTTTTTCAGCATTTACTAACAAGGACTTTCACAGTTCATAAAACAAAATTCCACTCCACAATCCAATGGAGTCCATCATCAATTTTTATAGCAAATAACCTACTCTGAATGACAGAGTTTGATCAGAACAAAAATCTCTCAAAGTTCAATATGATCTTCAAGTCAATTAAAAAGTCACATGTTCTTAAAAATTTCTTTTTACAAATAGGTAGGAAAAAAAATCCATAATTTAAATGAGATAAGATTATGCTTCGTCAATAAATGTATTTAAAATAACATGTTTTAGAATACAAACAGTAATCACTTGGTAGTATCTGCAAATTGATGACACGTATAGATTCACTGATGAATGCAGCTCCACATTGCACCTATCTGAGCAGTAAATTCAAGATTCCTACTGTTTAAAAAACATCACCAAGCCCCGCAAAACAAAAACCCTCCACAAAACAAACAAGCCAACAAACCAACTGTCAAGCAAAATATTTTTAATTAGTAGGCTGATCATAAATAAATCCACATAAAAGATTTAACAGAATTACAAAGAGTTTTGTGTTTCTTTTGTGGACTCAATTCATAATATGCATTAGTCAACCTCATTCCCTAGCTGTGACAAAGAGTTGTCATCCAACAATGTAGCACAGTTTAGCAATTCATGTTCTTAGTTACATTTTATATTTTCTTTACAAATGTAACACTTATGTACATTATATATATTTTTTCCTATAGCTCATGTACTGAAACTCTAGTGCCTTTACAGGGAAAATGTTGAATTCATTTCATGAATATGAATCATTCCTGTTAAAAAGTAATTCATACAAACAAGTGACACAGTACTGCTGCCCTTTGGCCTCTCTTGTCAGAGTTCAAGTCCAGAAATGTTAATTGTAAGAAGACGACTTTATCTAGTTTAGACTATGACATGTCATTCCACACAGTCCTCGAGTCTGCAGGCTCTCAGAAGAGCACTGTACTGCTGCACTTCTGGAAGTGTGTAGAAACCAACTCGGGCACGCTGGGTGGGTCAGCGTCGTCCGGAGGGAGGGACTCTTGCTCCCTCTTGCCCTCTATCTCCGGCCCAAGCCTCAGACAGAGTGATGTGCATCGTGTCTTCCAACAACAGCTCGTGTCAAGTCTCCTGTGCTTCTCTGATGGATGGTGCTTTCCCTGGCTGTGGAGCGTCTGTCCTGACTCACTTTTGTGGATTTCACTTAAAAATCTGCTGCTGAATGTGAATCAGAAACTCATAGTAAGAGAATGCAGCCTCCGTGCGATCTTCAATCAAATGCTGGAAAAACTCTGTTTTGGCAGGACTCTCATCTCTGAAAGGCAGAAAACAGCGTTTACCTAATATATAATATATACACTACAGAGGATAAATATACACTATAGAAACTCTACCGTGTGGACTTCAGGAGAAGTCAATCAAGTCACACTTCCACACTACAAAGTCCTGAAACTTGCTTTGTGGAGAAGCATAGGAAAGATGACATCACCACAAAGTTACGGAAGACTTACTTGACCATGTGAAGGACTGGGCTTAATGGTCGGCTGTCTCGAAGCCACGTTATAAAGGATCTAGTTCTCTCTGATGATAGCGTGTCTAGTTCTGGAAGATGTGTCTGGTAAAAGAAACAAATAGAAAATACCAATATACACTAACATTGAACATACTCTTCTCTCTCAGGCTGCAATTCTTTTAGTAAAGGCCATAGAATGGTTGTAACAACAACATTTAACCCTACAAGCATGTGTATACCTATACAGATTTCCCTGAATACATCCACAATGTACAGGTTTTTGGAGTGAAATAATTTACCGTGTCATACAGCCTATGATCTCCAACCTTTGTCATCTGGTAGATAGATACTGGGGTCGGATTGGAACTGGGGCTTCCAGGAAGCCAATCACAAGCCTGTATTCTGCCCCCTAGATCCAACAGGAACAACCACAGGAAGGAAAATTTAGTTGTAGAAAAAACATTTGTGTGCTGGTCAGTATATGGATGACATTTTACTTGATTACTGTATTGTCTAGGCAACCCAGTAAAGAACACACAATGACTGGTGTACACTGTTTCTTCTAGGGGCAGTATTCAAATGAAGAGGGCCATTACTAAACTCCAATCTGACTTACACATAACTTCCTTGAAAACTCGCATTCTGAGAATTTTGTCTTTCTTTGATTCTTCCCTGCCCCCCAAAGATTTACTCATTTTGGGGGGCTGGAGAGATGTCTCAGTGGAGAAGAGCACTCCCTGCTCTTCCAGAGGACCCAGGCTCAATTCCCAGCACCAAAAGGCGGCTATTGTTTGGAACTCCACTCCCAGGTGACCCAACACCCTCTTCTGGGCTCCATGGGCACCAGAAGAGACAGACAGAACACTCACACATATAAATAAACTATTAAAAAGAAAAAGGTCCCTTCTCGGGCTACACTGGAAAAAAAAGCAGATGCAGGTGACCCAACACCCTCTTCTGGGCTCCATGGGCACCAGAAGAGACAGGCAGAACACTCACACATATAAATAAACTATTAAAAAGAAAAAGGTCCCTCCTCGGGCTACACTGGAAAAAAAAGCAGATGGATGTTCTGCCTTCATGTATGTCTGTGAACCATGTGCATGCCGTGTCCACAGAAGCCAGAAGTGGGTGTTGGATCCCTGGAACTGGCGTTACAGATGACTGTGCACTACCATGTGGATGCTGGGAATCAAACTTGGGTCCTCTGGGGAACACTTTAGCCCCCATCTTTAATTTTGAAAGTTTTAAAATCTAGACTTGTAAATATATTTTAGAACTATAGGCTATTTTCAATAACCTGAAAGTGTATGCATTTGGTTACTGTACATAGGGTAGGGAATAAACCAATTCTTCTTTTCACAGCCAAAGTCCACAGCGAACAACCCAAATCATACCTCACACACTAAAACAAATGGAACTGTTGAATTATCATAGGTGCAATTCATGCCAATATTTAACATTTGTTTTAAATCAAATTTTTAGAAGTGGCAGTCTCCCTGTAGCCCTGGATGGCCTAGAACCCTCTGCGTAGACCAGGCTGGCACTGGGTTCACAGTGCTGCCTCTGCCTCCCATGCTGGGATTAAAGGCAAGCACGGCCACTGCACCTGACTTTTTTGTTGTTGTTTTTTTTGTCTTCTTAGACACGATGTAGTCGGGCTGGCCTTGAACTCCTGATCTCCTGCACTCACCTTTCAAATGCTGGGATTACAGCTGTACACTACTACATCTGGCTTAAAAAGGTGAAAATGAAGTAGAAATTACCACCCTTCAACAATCCTGACAGCTGCTTGGAACCCGACTGTAGTGACTCATGGTCACATCAGCACCTGGAACCTAACTCCTGAAGATCACGACCCTTATCTTTAAGAGTCTCAAGGAAAACAACCCACTCTAAAACCTCTCTACAGACACGAACCCTGCAAAAATGGCTCATGAGAGAAGGGCAAGCAATTCCTCTTGACTTCTATCTAGTCCCAGTCCCCTCTACAGACACGAACCCTGCAAAAATGGCTCATGAGAGAAGGGCAAGCATTTCCTCTTGACTTCTAGTCCCAGTCCTCAGTCATCCCACCTCTCTGGGAACTGGCCCACTGGCTGTGCTTGCAGCATATTTCAATCCTTTGTCTGTTCATGCACCTGATAAATAACATTCATTTAGCATTACCAGCTTCCAGACTCTGTCTCAGACATAACAGAAAGGCCAGGTAGTGTGTAACTCCATTAGGTGACTTATTGAGAACAGGCAAAATCATAACTAAAAAGTAGACTGACAGCTAGCAGCTGGGGGGAGGGAAGAAGCTGGACAGAAAGGTTTTCCATTTTGAGGAGTGATGGCAAGTTTTGAAATTAGACAGTGGTGACGGTGAGGCAGGATAGAAAGGGAAAGCTGAGGGAAGACAGGAGAGAATGGGCCTCCCGGGAGCCCGGTTATGCCTCCTATCAGCTGAGAGTCAAGAAGGTCAACATAAACTAACAAAATCTGCTGTGGACACAAGCGTGGCATGGTGGCTAGATTGCTGAAAATTCAAGGCCAGGCTGGAATATGCAGTAAGCTCCAGGACAGCTCAGCTACATGCAGAGACCCTGTCTCAGAAAACAAAAAAGGTTACCTAAGATGCCCAGGGACACAACATCCCCCTTTGATAACATTTATTTCAAATATGTATGGTCAAATATCACAAACCATGCTTGACGACATCTGAGTTTAGCTTTACCCTCTTCCAAGGTGCAAGCAAGCACACACCCTTTGGAGAATACCACAAAAGTGATCAACTTGGTATCCAGTCAAAACGCGTCTTAACCCCTTTGTGATCTGCAACAGTAATGATTCCTTTGACTCTCTCTCAGCCTAGGTTTTGCCCTTATTTTCTCATGTCCCTCACAAACAACCCTTTAGTCTCACAGGAGGAGGGGCTCCTTAGAAAGCCTTTAAACAATGTGACTTCAGCAGCGTCCCAAGTGTGGACAGCTAGTGCTGAGAGGCACTGAAGCGCTGACCACAGCCAGCAGAGTCCAGGGCCCTGCTCATCTCCACAGTGCTCATCCCCACAGTGCTCACACTCACAACCCCCTCCTTACCAACCTCCCTGATCTGCCTCACACTGACTCGTGCTGACATTCTTGTGTGCAGCAAAGTGAGAACCCCAGCAGCTCTCAGCAGAGGTCTGACAGGAAGTCCTCAGGCTGCAGCTCCCACAGCTGACAGTTCCCACAGCTGCTGACAGTGTTTGCATAATCCTGTGAATGTAACTGGTAAACTAAGCCACATGCCACAGCGCACACCTGTACTCCTAGCACACGGGAACAACCTGGGGCCAGCCTGGTCTACAGAGTGAGCCCTAAGTTAGCCAAGACTACACAGGAAAACCCAGTTTGAAAAAGGGGAGAAGGAAAAAAAGGCAAACATCACAAAAAGTTATGCTAAAAACAAATTACACACATATATAAAAAAAATATAAAACTTAATTATGCAAAAACTGTTGACATAAAGTTACTTCCTCCGGGGCTAACATATGCTATTGACCATTCCATCTCCATCAGTGAGGAGAGATAACCTTGGTGTGCAGTCATGGAAACAAAGTAGGTTGAACAGTACATTGGCAAGTTAGTCTATGCTACTGCCAATGAATTTGTTAGCATTTCCCCAGGAGAGAAAGGGGCCCCCAGTCTCTCCTGCTTCCCAGCTGAAGGTATCGGAGAATATAAGAGGCAGGTTAACTGAAGGAGGCTCCCTGATTAAGCTTCCCTAAGACAGGTGGGATTGAGTGATGCAGCAGTGTTAAGTCCCCCACGCTCTGTGTGTGGTCTCTCACGTATATTTGGATTGAGTTTGGATTGAGTGGTGCAGCCGTGTTGAGCCCCCACGATCTGTGTGTGGTCCCTCACGTATGTTCCTGTAAGTAGGCCCCATAAATGCACTGGTTTACCAGACTGGCTTGGATAGAACTGATACTTTTGTCTGTCATCAGTGTCCTAACCACAGTAAATAGACATTTGTTTTCTTCTCCTCAAGAAAAGTAACACAACAAAATCCACTGACCATTTTCTGTGGTATTGCTGCAAAATCAGGGTACCCAAGCACATTCTCTATAAAGTTATTGTCACAACCTTTGCCAATCCAGATGTAAAAGACCTGAAAAATAAAAAGGGTGGGGGTGCAACAGAATATTAATTCCCTAATAGAAAATCTATTACAACCAATTCTCTCAGTTATCATACATAAAGGAGGTCATTTCTGCTGTCTCAGACCCAAAATCTAACAATCATAAAAGGGATATATAACTAGAATGTTGTGAACCTAGTTCTAAGAAACAAAAGTAATCTCATCTTCTCTGCTTAAGTTTCAAGGCTTCTAAGAACATTTTGTGTTCCTCCTCACTCAAGATTTATTTATTTAGGGGCTGGAGAGATGCTTTGGTTACAAGACTTGTCAGTGTTGCAGACAACCCGGGTCTGGTACCCAGTATCCACATGGTGGTTCATAGCATCCATAACTCCAGCTCCAGTGAGATCGATCCAAAGGTCCCTTCTGACCTCCTCAGGCACGAGGCATGCATATGGTGCACGTACAAACATGCAAGCAAAACACAAATGCATATAAAATGAGACTTTTAAAATGAAATGCATATAAATGAAATGCATATAAAATGAGACTTTTAAAACAAAAATATTTTTCTATGATTAGCATTTTGTCTATCTGTGTGCAGTGTCCACCGAGGCCAGAAGGGGATTTCCGAGTTCCTGGAACTGGAGTTATCAATGGTTGTGAACTGCCATGTGGGTCTTCTGGCTAAGTGTTCATAACCAGTGAGCCATCATCTTTCCAGCCCTGTTCATTCATTTCCCTAGTAGGAACGCACTGCTTTAATAAGAGTATCTGACCCCTATTTCCCATTTACTGTTTCAATTACTATTTCTTCTTCAACTTGTGAATTCTGTGGCTGCTCACACTTGTCGTGATGACTGGTCCCTCCCGAGCACAGTGACTTTTCTAACCTCCAACCATCACTAGAATTTCTGGCAATGGACAGAAGGTGAACCACAAGAGAAATTCTTGAGGTCCATTTGAATTTTATGATTCTGATGGTAAAGTTCTTGATGGTAGGAATTTCTTTTCTGAGTACATATAACTCAATAATTTACTAATTTACATTAATTTGATGTGCAACTATTGGGTCAAAAGTAAACTGAGCTCCTGTGCCAGTCAGATTCCTTGTACCCCTGTCTGCTGGGTGATAACTAGACAGTGTGTGTCCCCTGCCAGTCAGAGCAGTAGTGATGCTTACTGAGCCACAGTCCATGAGGAAAGCCCCCTCTCTGGTCAGCTTCTCTGCAGACAGTTTTTGAAGTGATGGCTGAGGTACTACCCTGTCATTAACATGTATGGCACCCTGAAAATAAAAGGCAAAATTCAGTGAGTCATGTAACATATCGTTACTGTCATCAGACTTTAGGAATCAGTCACCACCTCTTTAAGACACTAATCTATGACATATTTTAGAGAATGAATATACATTGACTGTATACCACAGTTTTACAGTAAAATGAAGATGTTCAAATGTATTCAAATTTAAAACATAAAAATGAGGAAATGTAAAATGGATTGATTAACTGTTTCATTTACTTCCTTTTTAAGGTCAGTGTATATCAAAACTACGGCAGCTGACTGCCCCATTTTACATTCCTCTTGAAAGCATAAGACTATGTATGGGATGAATACTAATCCCAAAGATACAATTGAATGTAATATTGTAGTCTGGTTATATCACAAACGGCCAATAGCTGCAAAATACAAAATACTGTAACTTAGCTTTGAATCACACATTAAAATGGAACCCATGGTAGGTTACTTTTAAAAACTCTACCCAGAGGCAAATAGCATCCAGAAGTCCTATTGTGTACCTAGATCCCAGAAGTCCTATTGTGTACCACGATCCGAGTGTTTACCACCACGGGGAAGAAGAGAGTGGGAGAACCACTGAAAATACCTAACCGCCTTAGGCAGAGCATCACGACGAAAGCATACCTCATCCGTCAGCCTGTCTATCCTGTATAAGTTGGGATGAATCGTTTTCATTAGATGAACAAGCGGCTGAGACTTCATCTGGCACATGGCAAACACACGATCATCCAGGCGTGTGCTTGTGCCTGTTCTAAATGCTTTCTGCAAGGAAAAAGACACGCTCCAAGTGAAACACACTTGTAGCAAGTAAAGAGCAAACCCAACAACCAACATGTAATAGGTCAAGGGAGTAAATCAAGCTTCTCTGAACTATCCTGTCCTTGTAAGGACAACAGAAACGATCTGCGAGGTTACTGTGAAGTGAACTAAGATGATGCAAATACAGCTCCTGTAGCATGATGAAACGATGGACAGACACACACTCAGCACGAGTTAGACCTTACTTAGAGTCTCTTCCAGCAGCACGTGTGAAGGGTGGGCTCTGACCCCGTCTTATTCAAACTGCCCATACAAATGAAGGACACTGTTTTGACAGGAGTCATGGTATGCATACCTCCATATTCCCCCTATTTTTCAAAAGCCTTACAATACCAAAGTACATAATTCTCTAGTTAACTATTATTCCCCTGAGAGCTTGTGAGACACTGATCAGCTGTGAATTATAGAGAACTACCTGTTTGAGAAGCGCCAAAACATAGAGTGGGAGCAGCTTGAGGGAGCTGGGTGCTGTCAGCACGGAGCGCGGCACACTTGACACTGCGGAGCTGTAGGCAGACAGGGGGTCAACCACAGCGTTCACCAGGGCATCCCTGGCATCTGACAAGCTTGAGGACACCGAGCGATCCACAGCTGCAAAACAAGAGGATATTCAGCCATCAGACTCTGTCTCTGTCTCTGTCTCTCTGTAATGTGAACTAATGACACAATCCTTGGATCTCTGGTTCACTCCCTAGTACTTCCAGACGAGGTGTGGAAAGCAGGTCTTTCTGTAAGTGCCATTATAATTTTGCTCCAAGTGAGCAATAACGGCTGCTTTCTCCAGTGTATGTGGGAAAAGCAAGACTTAGTGCATGTTTATGTTTATTCATAAGAAGAGACATATTAAAAGCAAAACCCTCAGGAGTGTGTTAATTACTGACGGTTTCTTTAAGCTTAGAGTAAAATGTACTTTTCTGAGTATAGTTCTATGGCAGTTACATATCAAAAGCAGTTGTCACACTACCACAATAAAGATTCATGGCAGTTTCATCACCCCAAAATTAATCCCCGTGGGGCTCCTTTGTAGTAAAGTTCTCTCTCTGCCCCGATCTTGACAATCTATTGTCCATCTTATCAATTTTCCTTTTACTAAATGTCATGTAAATGGAGTCACAGGGACACAGTTTGTGTCACTGAGCATAATGCCTTTGAAAGTCACACTTGCTGAACTGTTTGACGGCTCCTTCCTATTCGCTGCTGAGTTGTATTTCACAGTGTGGATGTGTGACAGTTTACACAATAGTTGAAGGAGATCCTGGTTTTTACAAATCACAACCCCACTTAGTAGATTTTAAACTAAGAATTATTTTTAAAATGTAAGAACAGCCTAATTCATCCTGTAATAAATGAAAATGCATTAAATGTTTTTTAATTAATGAAGGAATATCTCTCTCTAAAAAAAAAAAAAAAGATAGAAAAGCCCCAGTTTTTAGGTTAGAAAAAGGTATGTCACCAGCTTTTTCGCATGCTACTCACCCATGTTAGCCAGAAGGCAAATGGCGGCTTGCACATCCACTCCTGCATAGACGTCTGCGAGTGAACTCACCACTGGCAAGCAGAGTGTATGAACTCTAATTCTCCGTTCACCTAAATAAAAGGAAGCATGCTCTTAAAGCACCGTGGGCTAAGAAAGAAAGCAAACTTCACAATTCCACTCAAATTTCTGGTTTGGCTAGGTTAAATCATCAACATTCTGAAACAGAAAAGGCTTTATAATTAATGTTTCAAGTATCTTTATTTTTACTATTTTTGGTGCTAGGGATTAAACCCAGGTCCTCACAAATGCTAGGCAAGCACTACAGCACTGAGCTACATCGCCAGTCTGATTAGCATGTTTCAAATACAATATTCTCCAGAGACTGGACAGATGCTCAAAGGATAAGAACACTTGCTATTCTTTCAGAGGACAAGGTTCAGTTCCCAGCACCCGTATGGCAGTTCACAACTGTCTGCAACTCTAGTCCTCGGAAATCAATGCTCTCTCTTGGCCTCCATAGGCACCAAACATGCATGTGGCACACAGACAGACAGACAGACAAGACATTCACTGACATAAAATAAACGTATCTTAAGAGCATTCTCTAACCTGTAAAGTATGAACGTATATATGTTACAAACAGTTAAATGTTAGTTTCTGGTTTGATTTTTTTTTCAAAGATTTTATTTGTACTTCCAGTATATGTATATCTGTACACGTAAGTGAGCATGTGCCCATGGAAGCCAGAGAACGGCTGAATCTCCTGAAGCTAGAGAAACAGGCAGTTGTGATCTGCCCTGTGTGGAAGCTGTGAACAGGAACCCAGGCTCTGGAAGCAGCAAGCGCTTTCTCTCCAGAGTTTCTAATTACCTTCAATATTGTTCTAAATTATACACAATAGAGTCAAATATCAAAAACCCTAGACTGTCAAGTAAGAAATGAAGACCTTTTCTACAGTTCTTGACTTTATAGAGCACCAATGCAAAAGATGGTGGAATTAGTCACCATGCTTGCCATAAACATAGGATGCTAAATATGAATTTTCCAAAAATTAATCCTGATGACCTGTGTTTGAGCCATAGAACCTACTTGTGAAAGAAAGAACTGACTCTATAAGTTGTCTTCTGACCTCCACATGCATGCTGTGGCATGTCTGCCTATGAGGGTTCACACAGAGTAAATAAATAAACGTGATAAAATATTTTTAAGTGTGTTATTTGGGGCTGGAGAGATGGCTTGGTGGTTAAAGGTGACGACGGTTCTTGCAGAGGACCTGGTTTGAGTCCCAGCACCCATATACTAACTGGAAACCACTAGGAACTCTTAGGTCCAGGAGATCCAATGCCCTCTTTTGGCCCCATGAATTCCTGTTTGCATGAGATGCACATAAACTCACATGCACACACACATAAATAGTAATAAATTCATCTTTTAAGATGTGTTACTTAAAAATTCAAACGTGAGCTAAGAAGAGAAACAGAACCTATATTTAGTCAGTGAATGCAAATGCCATTACTGCCACTGCAGATAATTTTTTTCCTCCTGTCTACTAAAAGGGAGGTGGGAAGCGGGCGCCTAGCCCCTGGGTTTCCACAACATACCTTTGCTTGACGTATAGAGCAGGGCTGTCTGAAAGCACACTAAGGAAGTGTCTGTCAGGCTCTCTTCAATTGACAGCTGCACTGCAAATCCAGCATCAGGATTGATGTTGGCAAGAGACAGCAAGTCAGTGGAACGGACAAAGAAGTTCCCGTGGAAAGTGTGCATTGAGAGACCTGGGGAAGAGAGAACTGGCATGAAGATGGGCAGAGCTATAGCTACTGCTCAGTCAATGGCCCTCTGCACAATTACAGAGGGAGGCTGCACTCTAGGGAGAGCTTCTGCCTAAACAAACAATGCAGGCTCTATAAAGGAGCCTGTATCCTGTTTAACCTACGTTTACACCTACCTACCCTTGCTATCATATTCTACATGAAGTCCAGCTCAGACAGGAATGTCAGACAAAAAAATAAGAAACCGAGGGCTCCTTTCCTTGGATTTAAGATGAGAGTTCACCCCACAGACAATCACATAACCCAAGGAAGTCGTGAATTAAAGGCTATTAAGGGAGCAACCTTTCCTGTTCTGTCACTTTCAAGTAACTTCTGACATGTGCTTTCCTTAAGTAAACAAAGATGCTGCTTTCACCCACTTACTCTAGTTAGAGAAACTGGTCAATGAGCACTCAATAGCTATATTTCAGGCAGGGGTCAGCTGGACCCAACAGGGAGTCCTCTGTGATACCAGCCACCCCATGGGTCTGGGAATTCTTGCTGATTGACACAGGAATGTAACACAACAAACCCTTTTCAGAAGTCCATACCTTTAGTACACCTTATTCTCATAACAGCTTCAAATCCAATTTTCCTGGTGAGGTACCGTTTGAGGTCTTTTTGTAACTTTTCTGCTTGCGAAGGGTTGTGAGCAGAGTGGAAGGATGGGTAGTAGAATATGCACCCTGCAGAGTACTTGGACATGCATGCTTTAGAGAGAGAGACAGCAGGATAAGCTGGAGAAACAACTGGAGTCTACCCGACTAGCAACAACTACAGGCTGCGTGTCATGAAAAAACCTATTATGAGAAAGCCAACATGGACAGAATCCCATAGATCTGAAACCTGAAACATCTATAAAATGTAACAGACACTGAAGCTGATGGTTCAGCAGAATGGCTAAGGAATCATGCCACAAAGCAGAATTATTAAGAGCAGTTTCATTTGGTATAAGGCTTTAAATAAAGTTTACTGATAACATTATACACACTACCTATCTAATCCATGCACCCTTCTCCCCCAGTACTAAGAATGCTTACTGAATGCACTGTGTTCATTACATGTAGACATCTTTAACTAGGTAACATAATGACATCTTCTTACCCAAAGAAGCAAGGTCAGAATACTGTGAGCTTAGAAGGAACAAATCCACTGCAGTTTGCTGTCCTGAGCAATCCAAAGCAAGTTTCTTATAAAAATCAGTTGCAGGGCCAAGATGGTGCACAACCTAAGCCAACAGATCATAAAGTAAGAACCTTTGGTTATGCACACAGTATATGTCTCTTATAACAAGGAAGAAGATAGAGACTTTAGTCCATTACCAACCAACAGTATGGGCCCAGATTTCCAACAGGAATAAAACCTAGTGTTTATAAGGCGCTATGGCTCAGACCATTAACCAGCACTTTGGAAACTGAGGCAGGAGGACTGCCAGCCTGAGTTACTGAGTAAGAACCCCTGCACCTTCACCCCTAGGGGGAAAAGCATTAAATGACACACTTTAGATAGTTTATATAACCTGAATGATTCAATTCTCACAGTATATATCCTGTAAAATTTCATCATTTATCTTTCACAGCTGAGAACACTGAGTAAGTCTGATGATGTCAGACTGATAGAAAGTTAGCTCCAAAGTGAATGCTGCTGAACATGATGCTATTCTGTTGCTGGCAGGGTCAGGGAGGCTCAATGAGTTCCCTCCCAGCTACTGGGCAGCTGAGCACTTTCAGATTTACTAACCCATACATGAGTTTGGGGATCTCAGAAATCACAATAAAAAAGACCAGAGTAAAAACACAGTCTATTGAGTGAAGCCAAATTACATTAGTTTGTGTGTGTTAACTAAGCATTAATACCTAAATAGTGAGACTACATTTGGCTACGTAGTGGCTTACATTTTTCTCTACTATCTAAGTTTTATACAATGATTGGGATTCCCTCTGTATTCAGAAGCATGTTAAATTATAGTAGCTTGATTAAGTTTTTTACTTGTATAATAGAAATGACACTGGGGACAGAAAACAAGTCACAGCTTTATCATTAAATAGCCATTCAACCTTTGGCAAGACACTACTTTGTTCATCTGTAAATAGGATTAGGGTACATTTCTAAACACATACACACACTAGTTTATGTGTGTGTGTGTGCACATGGGCCACCACAAGCTACAGTACTGCTGGAACTATGAATGTGTGCCACCACATTCAACGACTTACTTGGAAGGGATTGAATTTGGTGAGCAGATGCATACGGTCTGTGCTCTTATCAATGAGCCATCTCTTCGGACCACATTTTATGGCCTATTAACTAGATAATAAGAAGAATACACCAATCCCCCAAATAGGGGCAGTCTGGCTTAAATTCTTATTGGTTTATTACTGCTAATGAAGCAAGGAGGAGGTAATGGATAATTTCAGTCTTTGGGGGAAAAAAAAACCCAGTGGTTAAGATACAAACAGTCATCGGGCGGTGGTGGCATGCACCTTTAATCCCAGCACTCAGGGAGGCAAAGGCACCTCTGTGAGTTCCAGGACAGCCAGAGCTACACAGAGAAACCCTTTCTCAAAAAACAAAACAAAAGATACAAACACTCAACATGCAATACCTTGGTACTCGACCTCTGATTTGGATCTTCTCTGGACTGCAGAAGTCCTGCCCCCAGGGAAGGCAACTGTGTCTGAAACACAGACACTCGGCCACCCGTGGGAGACATTAGTTTGAAGGCAGCCTGAAGTGCAGGTCCGAGGGCACTGTGTGTTTCTCTGGTATTGATGAACATATTTGGCAATGCGTTGAGTAAGTCTTTTATAAGCTGAGGGAAGATTGAAGATTGAGTCACTGAGAAGGCAAGATGGTTTTCTTCTCTAAAATATTCCAGAATAAAGCATGGCAACTCCACCTCTGGGGACTGTGCAGGAAGGACTCACTAGATGTTCCCTACAGTGTCTACCAGCAATAGACCAGTAGACAATCATCACGAGTTACATTACTCTGAGAAAGCCAATTAATCTCACCTCTTTACTTTCATGCAGATTTACAAGCAAACTATCCGGTGTGGGCAGAAAAACATCTATAGGGAAAAAACATTTCATGAGGACACAGTCAAGAGGAGATTATATAAAGTAATGCATTTTGGTTCTACGAGGACACTTGCCATGTGTATTACAATTCTGCCTTAGTAAACATATATACTCCATATGTACATCCCCCCTCCCCCGCGCCCCCCACGCCTTAAAATCAAGCATTTCCAAGAAAACAACTATTTTAAACAAGGTTTACCAAATCATGCTCAAGCCCATGAAAAGACAGACTGGAAAGTAAAGGGGCCCCCACTTCAAACCCACAGCTACACAGACTACTCTGCTGAAGCTTACCGTCTATATCAGACACAATCAACATTTGGGGCTGTGACAAGCCTTCTTGTAAGTTGTAGAAATGAATAGTGCTGTCAAAAGTCATGAATCCTATCCTTGTTCGTGAATCCCCAGGGAGCCTAGGAACAAAAATGGCAACTTGAAATTCAAAGTGCTCAGTCACACTACTTAGGAAAATAATGAAATGGGCTAAGTCTAAGGATATAACATATAACTTTTCACAGGAGACGGAAGAACTATCTGAACCTGCACACAAGGAAACAGCCAAGACTGCAGCGTCTTGTTTTCCGGCAGGAGCGCTCACTTGCGTACTGACTCACAAGTGAAACGTTAGCCTTCAGCTAAGAGCAAACCAGAACCCAAGTGGCTCTCAAAAGCTCAACACCGCCTGCTTACTTCCCTCTAGAACAGCAGTTCTCAACCTTCCTTACGCTGCGGCCCTTGAACACAGTGCTTGGTGTTGTGGTGACTCCAACCATAAATTATTCTGTTGCTACTTCATCACTGTAATTTTGCTCCTGTTATATATCTGATATATATATAGCATATATCTATATATCTATATCTATCTCTCTCTATATATATGATATGCGATGATGCCCAAGGGGTCAAGGCCACAGAATGAGAACTGCTGCTCCAAGGCATACTTTTTGGTTGTTTTGAGACCTGGTCTCTTACTGCAGCTAGGGCTGGCTTAGAACTTGTGACTATCCTGCCTCAAGTTCTAGAATGTGGGATTACTGGTGTGAGACACCACACCTCATTCTCATACTCAAGTAAAAATGTGATCATATTTTTTGTCTTAGTATCATAGTGTACCCTGTTTGAACACTGTATGGGCAGAATGACAAATACTTTCCAGGAAAAAAATGAACCATGTTGTTAGACTTCAATGTGTGAATTTTGAACAAAAAAATACAGTTATAAACATTGAAATGATTATCTACTATCAATCACTAGGAAGTTTTCTGTTAGAATTTAATTTTCAAAACAAGGCCATGGTACCAAGAATGAAGCCCGCCATGCTTTCCTCTGTTGTGGGATATGTGTACACTGTGTGAAGATATATTGCTGTGACTGTGTAATAAAAAGCTGAACAGTCAACAGTTAGGCAGGAGGTACAGGAGGGATTTCTGGGGAGAGAAAGGAAGAGGACAAGAAATCTAGGCTCACAGGGACATGAAGGAATCAGGATGGGCAGTATCGAGCCATGTGACAGAACATAGATGAAAATAAACGGGTTAATTTGAGTTATAAGACCTGGTGGGCTCTTTCTCACTGTCCCTCTGAAGAAGAGGGCAGGTCTTTGCTATCTCCCTCTTTCTCTCTTCCTTTATTCCCTTCCCCCTAAACTTCTTAACTGGAAAAAAAAAAAAAAAAAAAAAGCTGGTAGGACAAGCCTAAGCTATAGGCCGAGCTTTTGTAAGGAGTAGGAAGTCTTCATGTCACTATTTGGGAGCTGGCTGGTGGGACAGAGATTCATTACATCCCACAGCAACATGCGTTACAGAAGTACATCTTAAAGTTCACCCAGCTGTGTTTACTCTGATTATGTAATTGATTGCTTTAGTGTGTGTCTTTAAAATATTTTTGAATACAAAAGACTCCAGGGGCTAGAGAGATGGCTCAGTGGTTGCTGTACTTGGGGAGAACCCAGGTTGGGTTCCCCAAACCGATTGTGGCTTATAACATGGTCAATTCCAGTTCCCAGGGCAGGTGCCCTTTTCTGATCTCCCTGGACCCTGGCATGCATGTGGTATGTACCATAAAAGTAAGCAAATCTTTTACAAGATTTGAAAGTAGAATGTGCATCCAAGCACACTTTATATTGTTAAGGATGACTGATCTACCACCTCACAGTCTCAAGGGCACTCAAACAGATTTTAGGGAGAAAAATGCTATAATGGGGTGCCAATACCCAGCAAGACTTATGCTCCCACAGATTAATATGCACTCCTTTGAAACCTCTGGGTTCAGAAAGTCTGAGGACATTAGTGGAGCCTACTGACCTACCCTGCTAAGAAAATTCACTAATGTCTACTAAAAGGTTTCTGTAGCAAACTCCTTTCTCAAGAACCCTTTCAGGAAATGTACTACAGTGCTGTGATCCTGGGCCCTTTCTAATTTTGTTTTTGCTTTTCCAATATGTCTATTTTCTGTTGTAATCAAATAAGAATGACTATTTTCTATTCTCAGGTTATCCTTTTGGTTTTAAACAATCTAATCTGCAAATAGTCACTGGAATAATTGGGGCCACTTCCTCATACTTCTCTGAGAGTAATGGAGGGAACTGATTGATGAAG